ACCCTGTGGAACTCCATAATTAACCTCAGTGTGTGAAGAGGACTCTCCATTTACATGCACAAACTGGAGTCTATTAGATAGATATGATACAAACCATTGTTGTAATGTCAAGTGTGGTTGTCATGTCTACGTCTCTCTATGTTTTCCTGTTTTATTTTGAAAGTCTTGTTTCCATGTTCAATGTGTTCAGTTGGTGGCGTCAGGTTCATTTGTGTCAGCTGTGTTTCTCCAGGTGTTTCCAGGGAATGACATCTCTAATTTAAAAACATGACTCCCATGAGGTGCAGATACATTTATGATGATGATGATGCGCTTTCTGCCTGAATATTTTCTGGTAGCGATGCGAAAAAGGGGAACAGGCAGTTTAGGAAAGGGTCCACTCATTAAACCCTCCTAACTTCTTTGGCGAGCAGGCTTTCAATGGTGTCTGGGTCTTCGAGAGCTGACTGGAGGTTTTTACAGGTACAAGAGACCTGAGGCTGGGTAACAATCCCTGGGTGGAAACCTTAAAAACCTTTTACTAAAAAGTTCACCAAGTCTGGGTAAGGGTGATTTTTTTTTTTAAGGCTTCTTTTAAAGCGTGAATATGTATAGGTGTCAAAACAGATAAAACTAGTCTTGTTTGGGGGGGGTTGTGGGGGCATGCTGGGCAGGAATGGCCGCTGCCGCAAAAAGAGCAGGAGTGGAGATAGCAGCACTAAGACATGAGGCAACTGGAATCAGTTTCTGGAGTTGGAATTATTGCAAATGGTGCGGCTTCCTAGGTTCACGATGGGTCGGCCCTTTCAGTCTGTACCTTGTGGCAAAGGCATGCTAGGAATGGATGCTGTGGGTTTGGAAATTTCTGGTTTAGAGGCTGGACCCAAGCAGGTAAGAGTGGATGTGTGGCTTATGGGCTGTCAGTTGCTTTGGGCTGGAATGCTACAAACGGAAGCAGGATGTGACGGAGCACTGCATATCTTGCAGGAGAGTGAAGATCGGACAGCGACAGTAGAGTTCCTGCCCCAGAATGTGTCCTGATTAAACTGTTGTAGGCAAGCTGCTGCTTGAGAAGTGAACTGGATGTGGTACTAGTAAAAGCTGGTGCTGCCGAAGTGTAGGGCGAGATCGAGTATTATGGTCAAGTAGGTATCGAGAACTTGTCTTTGGGAAGGGAAAGTAGTGCAGAAGATGTCTCTGTACAGTGAAAATGCAAAAGAAAACTCGAGTGGAGTGAGCTCTTTTGCCTGAGATGGGGCCGGACTGTGCATGATGGGTGGAGTGGGCTGGTTGAGTGGTGGAAGAATGAGCTGTGCTAGATCTATATATTTACTGACAATGCTTTGTTGGCGAACGTGAGCGGATACTGGGAAAGGTTTTGGAGCCAGTGGGTTGGGAGGACGAATTGCAGAGGCCAGCAAAAACTGACCAATATTAGTTGGAAAAGAAGAGTCCTGGGCTGATTACCAACACTCATGGGGTTCTGTTATGTTTTAAAAAAATCTTTTTTATGTAAAGTTACTATTCTAAAGTACATTTTCTGTCTTGTATATCTTTCAAATGTTAAACACAGACAGGAAAACAACGCGAACAACACCACCAAAAACAACGACCACTTCACTGACAACAAGAACTGCAGCAACAGCGGCAGCAGCACCTGAGGAAATCTTAGGTATGAAAGCAGTTATTCAAAGAACGACTTTTGCATTATTGTGACCAGTATTTAGACAAAATATTAATTTCTGAGTGTTACCCAGTGTGTTTGTTTCAGGACAAACGTACCAGAATAATCAAGTGTTCAGTTGTGTTCCCATACAGCTGAATAACTGTGTGATCAGTGACTGTAGCTGGTGGTGGATGAGGCTCTGATTCCAGATGTTTCTTTGTCCTCCAGTTGCTGATTACCTGTGGCACATGACTGTCCGCACACTGATTGGACTGCTCTACTTAATCATCATGATCAGCATCACTGCTGTTACCTGGAGGAAAGGTGGATGAGCTCAAAGAGCCTCTGTGCTCTCATCATCACTGTTTTCAGACTCATTGAAGTTTAACATGATTCAGCTTTAGTGCAGATGTTTGTGCAGCTGCACATTTGCAGGTTTACAAATAGAAGTCCAACTGCATAAAAGTCTCTGAGAAAATGATCCTTTTAGTCTTAAGAGTTTCAACATGATGTTCAGTTTGTAAATTATAGAGTGAAACAGACTTTAAGCAGTTGTATGATTTATAACCATCCATCATATCCATGTTTGTTTTGTGTGTTTTGCAGCTCGACAGATACAGAAGCGAGACCGCAGCAGATTCTGATCTCTGATGCTCCATCACACAGAAGCAGGACACCTGTGTTAACTATATGCATCGTAGCTGCTCATGGAGACTAAAGACAGTGTGGCACAATAGCAAGCTACTGCTGCTGGGCTCCAGTTTGGTATAAGTGCCTTGCAGATTCAGTATGTACCGTTGTGTCCACAATTTTAAATCATTTGGAAAAAAATTGGTGTTTTTTTTTTTTTTTTTCTTACAGATTTTATTTTGCTGTTTAGCTTCAGTGCGCTGTTGGCTCTGTTGTCATGGCAATAACACCAAATTATACCATGTAAAACTCTGAATAAAAATAACAAACACACCTGCTTAAAAGTAAATGTTGCTGTTGTTGCATCCCCAAGTTGGTCTACGAGTGAGGACAGTAACATCAAACTGGCTGGAAAAACAGGAGAAAACGGTGAAAACCAAAATAGAATGGGCACTCAAGGTTTCTGGCTAAATTAACAAGACCATCAATGAAGGCTAACAAACACCAACAAGCTAACAAAGACGATCAGATCCTAACTAACATACTAACAGCAGTTTCACAAACACAGAGGCCCTGAATGCAGCATCAGTCCAGTTATAAAGGCCCTGGAGAGCATTTATTGGCTACAGGCCTCAGACGTCAGCCAATCCAGTCTTTAAGTCTGACATCATTAGCTGTGTCTGGGCCCAAACTCCGCTGCAGGTCCAAAAGTCAAACGATCACTGCAGCATCACTGAGAGTTAAAAACTGTCTAAATCCTTTCATATTTAATAAAATGATCAGTGTGGCTGATTGGCAGGTGTAATAATTATGTTTAACATCCAGGCATCCATGAAAACAGAATTTATTAAGTTTAACGGAGAAGTTAGCAGGAAGTTAGCTCGCTAGTTTCCATTGAAATATAATATACCATGTTCTGATTGAGGCATTTCAGAAAAAATTAAGTCATACAGGGCTGCTATCACTTCAGACATGAGTGAAGACAGAACACAAAACAGCAGTGAGGTTTGTAGGGTTACTAAAGTTGGGCTAGTTGGTTTATAATGATGTGCTATGTGATCGCTAGTGACACAGCTATGTTAGCATATCAGACACAGTAAAGCTGGACGATGAACGCTAACCTTTTTCCACTATATAAAAGTTAATGTGAGGGTTCCCGATGGTTAGGGACAAATGCAATCGCAGGATGCTGTAAAGCCCTATGGGAGGGTTCC